TGTCATTTGGATGTAGAAATGTGTCCAAATACATGCCAATGTTGCTCTACTGCAGTGTGACGAAAGACATTCTGGAGTAAATAATATGTTGTTAATAGTAGGATCTTAACTAACAGCTTTAATGCTATGTAATCAAATACTACAACAGTAGAATGCATATGTTGAGGCAACATTTGAATGCCATACTTTGCAGGTAAAAGTCTATGAGGAGGCTAACGCTAAAAACATTTTTTTGTAAAATACAAATTAACAATACCACTTTTCATTACATTACATGTCATTTAGATGACGCTTTTATCCAAAGCGACTTACCGACTTACTTTCCTCGCAGAATCATAGCTGTTTTTGTATATATGATGTATGGATGATCACAGGATGGATGTAAGTAGGAACTTCTTGAAACAGAACTACTGAGGAAGAAATACAGACCCTGTAGCATGAGAATCTTGTCAATGTTGTCACCTACTTAAGACATGGATGCTAAAAGTACTGACATGAGGATTTGCAAAAGTTGACCACCCACAAGGATGACAAACCAGCCCCCAAAATGAACTATGGTATGTATTTATTAATAAGGAATAATAGTCTTTACCAGCTTGCCAGGCACATGCACCGGCAAGGTCTACACAAGCAGCAGCACCTGGACAGCGGACCGGTCAGGTCATACAAGTTCTTTCATCTACTCAGCTACTCTGTCACATTGGCGTGGTGAGGCAGCAACCCATAGGCCCATGCAATATTTCTCATTATTAAATTATGATTATGAGATATTAAGTCACGATAATGTTATGTCACAAAAAGAGGACATTGTGTCCCAATTATGACTCACCAAGTCGTAATCATGAGAAGTGAAGTCATTATTTTGAGATACTAACCCATTATTTTGAGATACTATGTCTGTAGGAGCCGCATTTAAATTTATGTCCATGCATTTAAATAACTAATTTTTGTTATTTTTATTTATGTTAAAAGCAAAGTGTGCCCCCTACAGGTGAGGCGTGCGCTCCTATAAGTTGGTGTGAATGACGCGTCGTTGTGGTGGAGAAACGGCAGATACCTGTTAGGAGGGGGTGTATTTGGTGGACCCAAAAGCACACGCACAGCAGCCTTGGATTTTCAGCCAAAATGATTTTATTTTCCACAAAAAAACAAACTAGGTGAATAAGGGAAACAGAAAGCGCTCCTCTGGCTCAACTGGAGTCGGGAGGGAAACTCCACCAACGTCTGGCGGTCTGGGGGCGGCTCAAGCAGGGTCTGGTGTGGAAACCCGAGGCCCGACACCATACTCACAGTCCAACTCAAAAACAGGTCACGTGTACTCCGTGGGTCTGATACAAAAACAAACAAAAACATGAAAAAACTGGTTAGCTGCTGTATCTCAGGCTCAACGGCACCTGAGACCAGCTTGGGTACTGGGACGGACTGACGACGACGAGCCTCTGAAAGCAGGAGCCTTTATGCTCGTCACAAGTGATCCCCGAAATGAGCCACAGCTGGGCACGTGGGAGAGGGGTGGGGCCGGAGGCGGAACATATGGTTGGAAACTATAGGTGGAAAAACAAAACAAGCAAAAGCACAGACTGGGGGAAAAACTGTTAAGAAAACCGGGTCCCTAACAGTACCCCCCCCCTCAACGGGAGCCTCTCGGCGAACCGTTTAGACTCTCTGGGTTCCGACGGCGGTAATCCCTAATGAGCCCCGGATCCAAGATCCGGGAACGGGGCACCCAGCAACGCTCCTCTGGTCCATAACCCTGCCAGTCCACCAGGTACTGATACCCGGCGCACATCCAGGAGGCGATTGACTGTGTAGACGGGCCCCCCCTCGACGAGACGGGCGGGTGGAGTGGGTTCGGGGGGCTAGAGACAACTGGTTTAAGGAGGGAGACATGGAATACTGGGTGAATCCTCAAGGAGCGCGGCAACTGCAATTTTACAGAGACTGGGTTGATGATGGAGATGATCGGGAAGGGGCCGATATATCTCGGAGAGAGCTTCCTAGACTCTGTGCGCAGGGGGATGTCCCTGGACGAAAGCCAAACCGACTGGCCGATGCGGTAGGCAGGGGCGGGGGCGCGTCGCCTGTCTGCCACCCTCCTGTTCTGCTCCACCGTGCGAAGCAAAGCGGCCCGAGTAGCTTTCCAGATCCGCCTACAACGACTGGCTTTGCTCAGGACCGATGGCACAGCAACCTCAACTTCCTGGCTGGGGAACAGGGGAGGCTGATAGCCCAAGGAGGCCTCAAATGGGGACAGTCCAGTGGCCGTTGACGTATGGGGATTGTGGGCATACTCGACCCATGGAAGGTGACGGCTCCACGAGGAGGGATTGGTAGAGATCACACACCTGAGGATGGCCTTGAGCTCCTGGTTCAGCCTCTCCGTCTGGCCATTAGTTTGGGGGTGGAATCCCGAGGATAGGCTGGCCGTGGCACCGAGGGTGTGACAGAACGCCTTCCAAAGCTGGGACGAGAACTGCGGGCCACGGTCAGAAACTATGTCCGCAGGGATGCCATGGAGCCGAATGACATGCTGAACCAGTAAATCGGCGGTCTCAGTGGTCGCAGCAATCCCATCGAGGGGGTCGGTGCCTTGTTGCGGGCACAGGTAGTGCAGGCCAGCACATAAGCACGGGCGTCCTCCTCAAGGGATGGCCATCAAAATTTGCGGCGAAGCCAGTGTATAGTCCGTCGGATGCCGGGATGATCAGAGAGGCGGGACTCATGGGCCCACCTCAGGACCTGGGAACAGACGGGCGCAGGAACAAACAGGCGATTCGGTGGACCCCCCCTGGGTCAGGTTGGGCGTCGTGTACCACTCTCTCTATTTCCCAGGTAACAGCTCCGAGAACGCACGAGGCGGGAAGGATGGTGTCAGGACTTGAGTCGCCCTCAGGGGCAAACTGACGGGAGAGGGCGTCCGGCTTGGTGTTCTTGTGTCCCGGCCGATAGGTGAGTGTGAAATTAAAACGGGCAAAAAACAAAGCCCAGCGGGCCTGGCGTGAGTTGAGACGTCGGGCCGTATGGATATATTCCAAATTCCGGTGGTCGGTCCATACCACAAAGGGGACCATCGCTCCCTCCAACCAGTGCCTCCACTCCTCCAAGGCCAACTTGACTGCCAACAGTTCTCGGTTGCCCACGCCATAGTTCCTCTCCGCCGGGGAAAGTCTGCGGGAGAAGAAAGCACACGGATGGAGTTTAGAGTCGGACGCCGACCGCTGGGATAGTACGGCTCCAACGCGGGTGTCAGAAGCGTCAACCTTGACGACAAACTGGCGGGTCTTGTCGGAGTGAACCAGGATTGGGGCCGAGGCAAAGCGTTCCTTGAGGGTACAAAATGCCTTCTCTGCCTCTGGGGTCCATGAAAAAGGTATCTTAGAGGAAGTGAGTTGAGTCAGTGTTGCTGCTATTCGGCTGTAGTCCCAGATGAATCGGCGATAGAAATGAGCAAATCCCGGGAACTGCTGTAGCTTCTTTCGTGAGGCGGGTACTGGCCATTCAGTTACCGCCTTCACCTTTTCAGGATCCTTTCTCACTTTCCCTCCTCAATGAAAACGCCAAGGAACTGCACAGAGGCGACGTGGAATTCACACTTCTCAGCCTTAACGAATAGCTGATTCTCCAGCAGTCGCTGCAGAACCTGGCGGACATGGTTAATGTGCTCCTAGGGATTCGGAGAGAAGATGAGAATGTCATCAATATACACAAACACGAATCGGTTTAGGAAGTCACGTAGCACATCATTAACCAGTGCCTGAAAAACGGCAGGGGCATTAGTTAATCCAAACGGCATCACCAGGTATTCAAAGTGTCCCAACGGTGTGTTAAAGGCAGTCTTCCATTCGTCCCCCTCTCGGATGCGCACCAGATGATACGCATTGCGGCGGCCCAGTTTCGTGAATATCTTTGCTTCAGCTAGGGACCCGAAAACAGAGGAGATAAGTGGCAATGGATATTTATTTTTGATAGTAATCTGATTCAAACCTCTGTAATCAATGCAGGGATGGAGGGTCTTGTCCTTCTTGGAGACGAAGAAGAATCCCGCTCCCACAGGGGAAGATGAGGGACGTATGATCCCTGCGGCAACAGAGTCTGTAATATATTTCTCCATGGATTCGCGGTGGGGCCGGAGGCGGAACACACGGTTGGAAACTATAGGTGTAAAAACAAAACAAGCAAAACAAAAGCACAGACTGGGGGGAAAACTGTTAAGAAAACCGGGTCCCTAACAGATACCGTCTTTGACCTCAGCCTCAGCCCTGTGACTGCGCCTGGTGGTGATTGGCAGCATCAGGCATCCAAACAATTTAATGTTTTTCATTACAATACATACAAGCAAGTGAACAACAAATTGCTATTATTACGTTATTATTGTAATAACTGACAGTAAGTCCTTATTATGAGATTGTATGTCATGAGCGAGTAGTAATAATAATAAAAAAGAGTAAGTCATATTCATAAAATGCTAGATAGTAATGTATACACGTGAGGTGCTAAATAAGGATTATGATATGCTAAATCAACTTTATAAGATGGAAAATCGTAAATATGAGATATTAAGACATGGTTATGAGATGGTATGACTTTATTATGAGATACTAGGTCATATTGAGTCATAATTATGAGACAGTAATACATTATGAAATGCTAAGTCATAATTATTTTCATAATTACTTATATATCTTTATGATAAACTAAGTCACAATTATGCGATTTTAAGTTATCATTATTAGATTCTGAGTCATCATTTTGAGACACTTAAATTTATCAATATAATCTTTTTTATTTTTGGAAATTGTCTTACATAGTAATTGACTTCGATAATAATATCCATAAACTTCTATCCGATAATGATTTCTTTGAAACTGTCCTTGGTCACATGAAGAGCTTTCACCTCCGTGCAACTCAACCGAACTACACTTTGTCGTCAAACTCTTTTCGGGCTCTCATTGGTCAAATGTGAGTCAGTGGGTTTTTTCTGACTCCGGATTGGCTCCAACCCGCCACTGTCGTCACTATTCCGCGTCCCATGAGCGTGTGTTCCATTGAGGTTGTAGCAGTGTGTTTTAGACTAAAAATGGCGAGTTTTTGCGTGCGAGCTGTGAGACGGAGCTACTCACGTGTAGCTTTACCTGCGTTTATAAGGTAACACACTTAAATCTCTACTCTGTAAAGTAAAATGTGCCAGTAACGCCATGTTAGGCTTGATTTGGCAGAATGTTTAGCTTATGTCTGCTTAGGGAACGGTAAGTTAGCAGCAGCCTGGCTAGCAGCGTTAGCTCTCTTAACCGACCATGGTCCTAAATGTTGACCTTTAACGTTACGTCACGATACTGACTTAAACTGTCTGACGAGGCTTGTGTGTTGGAGATCACCTAATACACCTTTGACCAGCATATGTCGAGTGTATAGTTTGTTTATTTGCACAATTAACAAACAACAAAGATACATATTATCACAGTGAAGCCGCTTGGCTTGTTTGAAGCTTCCACCTACGTTAAAAATATTAAATGTTACTGAAGTTGATATTATAGAGAACCTGGAATGAATATTCAAAGGATATAATAACTTTTAGTGTGTGTGTGTGTGTGTGTGTGTGTGTGTGTGTGTGTGTGTGTGTGTGTGTGTGTGTGTGTGTCACTGTCAGAATCGAAGGTTGATGACATAACGTGACACATGGACCTTTTGCCGTGAGACTTGTTGTATCGAATATGCTAAACCGAATTCTTGAAGTTGGTTTATTTTAGTGAACCTGTACTTCTTCACCTAAAGCTTGCCATTAGATGATTGTGGGGTTTGATGAAATTGCGCTACAATACTCCATAGGCCAGAGAAAAAAAGGTGACCCTATTTAGGCTGTAAAGTAAATATAAGTTATAACAAAATATATTTGAACAACGTTTTAGTCATACAAGTTGTTACTTTAGCTCTCTGCTTCAATTAGCAGGTCTGGACAACGAACTGCTGTGATACAGCTGATGTGTCCCACATGAACATATTAGGGCTGTAACTATTTACAGTCAAGTTTGTTCCATGATTTGAATAATCTACTAATGATGGAGATGTTTTGTTTTTTCAACTGACGATGCAAAACTCAACTTTAATTTACTATCATAGTAAATAAACTATTTTATTACTATAACTCCCTCCCTACCATACAGAGCATATCCACGATTGCTTTGCACAGCCACCCAGCAGAAGAATGGCAACGTGTCAGACGGGGCTGAGAAGCCGGAGCAAAGTGCAGCAGAAACACTCCTGCTGGAGGAGAAGAGCCAGCTGGAGGACCAGCTGAAGGACATGACGGTGAGTTAGTTTGCTAACTAAGTTGTCGGGCTGTCAGACTGGTGGTATCTCATCTTTTACTGCATCCTCTGAAATGACAATAGTCAGAAGAATTTCCCATATCTTTCCCCCCTATTATTTTAGCTGAAAACAATTTTAAGGTGGACTAACCTGAACCGTGTCACTGAAATACAAGATTTCTATGATAATCTTCTAAACCCATGTCACTTGTAGATCCTAAATGTTCAAATGATTTTCTGTCTCATTTTGAGAAAGAAATTACTTTTAGTGTATGTGAACCCTTGTCCAATTTTCCAAGCTTATATGCATAGCTAACATTTGAAGTTCCTATAAGAAGGTGGTATTGACAAATGGTAATTAAGTAAAGTTTATTCCTGAGCCTCATAATGTCAGGTTTATTTATATTTTCAACTTGTTTTCAGGAGAAGTACAAGCGGGCGTTAGCGGACACAGAAAACCTCAGAACGAGGACACAGAAGATGATAGAAGATGCTAAATTATACGGTAAATAGGCTCTCTATTTTAGCTCTGTCACTTTTCATACTTTGTACCAAATCCACAACCTAATGTTGCAATGGATGAATTCTGCAGAAAATGTTGTCTTCATTCTGTAGTTGCATGTTCTAACCACTAAATGTCACTCGGAACAAAGGCAATTCAAGCATTTTCTATTAAATGATGTGGTGTCATGAAGTGATACTGTTGGTTTAGTGTACTTTTAAATCCGTATTTCCACTATTTACACACTAAAATGCATGGATTTTCCATAACAATCTTATCAAGCCTGTTTCTAATTGGAGTACATTTTTCTCTTCAAAGAGAAGCTGTACTTTTCAGTTATTTTCTGGCATTCAGACATATAAAACCTATTTAGTAAATATCAGATATGAACTTGTTAGTGTTGTTTGGTGACTGAATGAAATGTATATTCTTTTCCTATTTGATTTTGTAATTCTTCATTTGATAAGCTATGATATACCTCCCACTTTGCTAATAGGGAAGATGATTTTGCTTCTATAGCCCTGCGTAGTTCTATATTGCTGCTGGCTAAAGTTAACAAACTCTTTGTAACTGATGTTAGGAGATTTAAATGACGTTGAAGAACATTCTAACGTCCTTCCATCACCAGGAATCCAGGGCTTCTGTAAGGATCTGGTGGAGGTGGCCGACATCTTGGAAAAGGCCACAGAGAGTGTGCCCAAGGAGGAGGTGACCACCCAGAACCCTCACCTGAAGAACCTGTTTGACGGTCTGGTGATGACAGAGGTCCAGATCCAGAAGGTCTTCATCAAGCACGGCCTTGTCAAGCTCAACCCAGACGGCGAGAAGTTTGACCCCTACGAGCATGAGGCACTCTTTCACGCACCAGTGGATGGCAAGGAACCTGGCACTGTCGCCATGGTAACAAAAGTGGGTTACAAGCTTCACGGTCGTACCCTCAGGCCAGCATTAGTGGGCGTGGCCAAAGCCCCTTTAAAGTGAAGGTTTTAACTGCGACATTGGGATTTGCTTTGTTCCCTGAGTGACTTGTGAGCTCAAGTACAACAGTCTGGTTGAGTGTCACAGAGACGGTAAACCAACTGAGCTGGACTTTGTATCAGGACAATATCCAACAGCTTTTAACAGAAATATTAAAGTACACTATGTCTTTACAGTAAATCCCCAGCTTGTAATGTTATTCATTCCAGAGTCAGTTCTTGTCAGCCTCACTACGTCATAGAGAGAGGCTTTATGTCTCTTACAACCACCAACCCTAACTGAAAGACACCGGTTAAACATGAGAATGATCAAGTGATCATGGTCCTATGATGTGAAATCCATCCACAAATTGAGCAGTACTTGAGCAGTAGTTCTGAACTGTAAGTATCATTCCTGACTTTTGTTTAATGCTCTAATAATCTTGAACTTTATTATTCAATTTGATTATTTTTGAGTGTTAAATTGATTCTGTGAATAAAGGGAGGAGCAGGAGGCTACTTGAATATCTGACGAAAGGATGCAATGTTACTTTGAATGGAGTTAGTTGTGCTTCCCCGAGGCTTCCTGGTAAATGCATCCATCTCTTGTTCATTTGGATGCGATCAAGCTGTGGTGGGCCAGCTTTCGGCATTGTGACATTAATGTCTCTTTAATGGAAACCATTAGAAGGATTGTGTTATATTGGCTGTCACAGCATCAGAATAAATTGATCAACTTTGGCATCTTGTTTTAGTACTCTTCTTTTTCATGCAGCCTGAAATTAAATAAAATGTTGTTATTTGAACTACGTTAAATCAGTTATTTAGTCTAACCTGGGCATAATTGTATTTGAGATAGTGTGACTTGACAAGGATATTATCTGTGGTGCATCACAAATAAATGCCCATGAGACGCCTTCAAATGTGAAGAAATACCTCTTATAAACTCCAAACCAGGCAGGCTGCGGCATTTATACAAAGCTTAATTGGTACTAAAGGGTCCAAAGTGTGCCAACAAAGTATCCCTCACACCATTACACCACCAGCAGCAGCCTGAAGCGTCGATGCAAGGCCGGATGGATCTACGCTTTCATGTTGTTTAAGCCAAATTCTGACCCTACCATCCGAATGTAGCAGCTGAAATCGAGACCCATCAGACCAAACAACGTTGTTCCAATCTTCTATTGTCCAATTTTGGTGAACCTGTGTGAGTCGTGGTCTCTGTTTCCTGTTCTTAGGTGACAGGAGTGGCATCCGGTGTGATCTCCTGCTGGAGCCCATTTTCTTCAAGGTTCCACGTGTTGTGTGTTCAGAGATCGTACTTTGCATTCCTTGTTTGTAACGAGTTTTCTCTTTTTCGAACCATTCTCTGTGAACCCGAGAGATGGTTGTGCGTAAATATCAGCAGCAGATCAGCAGTTTCTGACATGATCAGAGTTTCCTACTAACATTGTTGTGTAAATCTGTGTTAATTATTGTGAGGAATAATTAACATTGACATATATTCACATTCATCATTATTATTATTATTATTTAAAGTGTTCTGTGCAACTTATTTAGGAAGTTTGTATCAAACAAGTAGCCCTTCGTACTACTTGGTATTGTTAAAGAAGCTTCCCAGTTTCAGAAAGGAAGGTGACCCCTGCTCTGGACAGTACTGGGCAATTTATTATAGCATAGGGGTCCAGAACAGACTGGGCCGAACCAGAGGTTGGCCTTCAATTATCAGTGTGCTCAACCTTCTGTGTAATATTGATGGACAGAACTTCAAGGCGCAACCCATATAGAAGGAGAGTGTCTCTTTAGGGAAAACAAACAATAGGCTGCTCTGTTCTGTTTGCTTCATCCAACCACGACCTTCATCGGGCACCAGTTTACATGCCAAGTAATAAGCCTTTGGGTAAAAGGCCTGCAGCCATGGTTCTCTGCTGGTAGTTGGTGGATTGCTCCCTTCAGGTTGGGTGAGTGAGTCACTGTCCCAAGTGATGGACTTCAAGCATCTTAAGTTCTTGATTTAGCACTAAACCTACGTTCCAAACTTCACTATGGTCATGTGGGAAGTGACAGAAACAATGATAGTGGATATGACATGAGGTTAGTTTTCCCTTTCAGGGTCACAATTTCTGAAAATGAAGAGGAAACAGGAATATGTACAAGATTATTTGTTTTTTGTACTTTTAATATCTCTATTCCTTGGCATGTGCAATAACTAAATAAAAAGACTCGATAGTATCAAAACTGTAACAAGATTGAAGGACAGTATGCCATCACCACCTTCCCCTTCAGAAAAAACTGCTTTGTATTCCAAAATATTTTTTTGTTTTTAGTAGAAAAGCTATAAACATTTCCATGACACAGAATACTGTGCACTTCACAGGCCAGTGATTATAGTTTCTTTTTCAAATTGATCTTACAGATGTGTCTACAATTGGTGATAAACAGTACACAAACTTGTCCTAGGAAAATACAAACGCTAATTCTTAATAATTTACAGCACAATTTTAGAACAATAAGAAGCATTTAGTTGTGCATGCCAAACAACGGCACTGTTAAAAAAAAAAAATCACACTCAATCAACTATTGGTGGTCTAAAGGAATTTACAAAAGCTAACATTCAAAGTAAGAGGAGCCCTCGGCTCTAAATGGGGGCTGTTTGCTTTACAGGCCTTTGGACACATCTGGATTCAGATGGCATTTTGAGCTGACCTCAAAGATTCTTATGATCTCCTTTCCTTTTTTAACAATACCAATACGATGCTCATACTAAGCTCCCACATAAGATGCCTGGCGTGTTGCTCAATCAGCACCCTCAATAAACACATAACAGTTCCCATTAGAACTCGTTAGCCATGTGTAAATAGCCAATGTATCCAACCACAGGTCTCAACTCTAATGGAGGTGATACACAATGAATGTAGGAAAGATGACAATAAAGATATTCCACAGCAGCATCACGTCCGGGTATCAAGTGAGCAACCGCTACCAAAGTGAAACGTTTCATGCCTATTTGTGGTCCATTTAACATTGACGATGCAGCAAAGTTGTAATGGCCAGCATTTAGCAGAGGTCTGATTGACATACCGTGTTGAGAGAAATTATTTTTTTAGGACGATAAAATATTATCCAGATTTTTTTAAAGTATTTTCATTGACTGAAACCCTTTCCAGGAAAAGTTGGAAGTGATTTTATTCATTTACAACAAAAGCCATGAAAAGACAGTCAACCTCTAAATACTTTACAACTTCCATGTGCCTATTGATCCCTTTATGTTAACTAGTTCATCAATACGAACTAGTTCATCAATGCGTGTATGTTCTTAAGGACACAGTTTGCAGTTACATTCCTCAACATGAGCAAATGGTGCATTTATCCGCAAGGATTATCAGCTGGTACACATTTGCTATGACAGCTGATTCGGGATTGAGTCACAATGACTACAGTGTTTTTGTTAAAATGTCTTTTTTTTATGTTTGGACAATCAAAGATTGGAACAACATTGCCTGGCCTGATGAGTCTCGATTTCAGCTGCAATATTCGGATGGTAGGGTCAGAATGTTGCATAAACAACATGACAGCATGGATCCATCCTGCCTTGCATCAACGCTTCAGGCTGCTGCTGGTTCAGGCTGCTGCTGGTTGTGTAATGGTTGTGGGGAATATTTTCTCACTTTGGGCCCCTTACTACCACTTAATCATTGTTTAAATGCCACAGCCTACCTGAGTATTGTTGCTGACCATGTCCATCCCTTTATGACCACAATGTACCATCTTCTGATGGCTACTTCCAGTAGGATAATGCACCATGTCACAAAGCTCATATCATCTCAAACCGGTTTCTTGAACATGACAATGAGTTCACTGTACTCCAATGGCCTCCACAGTCACATCTCAATACAATAATCACCTTTGGGATGTGATGGAACGGGAGATTCACATCATAGATGTGTAGCCGACAAATCTGCAGCAACTGAACGATGCTTTCATATCAGTATGGACCATAATCTCTGAGGAATGTTTCCAACACCTTGTAGAAAGTATGACACGGAGAATTGAGGCAGTTCTGAAGGCAATAGTGAACCTGTTGCATGAACACCAGAATATCTCTGCAACAATGCAACACTTGTTAGCATTGTAGTGCTAACAAGTCAGCCTTTGGCCAAAAATAGATTTCACATTGATTAAACATGACAAAGCTCTACTTTCAAGGTCTACCGGTAAATAACTAGTGTGACTTTTAACTTTCATTTCCCCACAAAAAGGCCAACTTCAAAGCTTGAGTAATTCCAATGCATTTATTTTGAAGCTCCTCCTTCGAAATTACACATTTAGATTTTAAAACTGCGATTGCCAGCGCACGGCTTGTAGAAAAAGCAGGAAAATGAGAATGAGTCACCAGTTGTGTTTTCATACCAAGTAGAGTCACCTTTAAGAAACAAGGATATGCTGCCAATAAGAGGCTGTGTGCATATGGAGCTGTTAGGACAGAAGAGGGACACTGACCTTCTAACTATAACCCATTTAGGTTCAGACCTAAATTAAATTACAAATGGGAGCCCAACTGATACAATACTAGTACGGATATGTAAACTTGATTATTACATAAACTCTTCTCACATGATAGATTACTGTGTACTTATTTAAAGCCAGGTTTGCAGACAAATGCATTTCTGTTAATAATCCTTAGAAATTGATTTTTAAAGAAGGCTACCTCTCAAAAATCCAAAACATATTTTCTTTGACCTTGTTAGTAGTAAATGGCTCATGATATCTGGAGAGACATTGTTGTGGAGTTTTTTTTATTTATGTTTTTGTCACTTTGAGCACAATAAGCAGAGTGCCATTTAGTAACGTTATGTTGGAGGAACTACATCAATAGATGAAACGGAAAGTAGGGGAAAAATGGTCATTAGATTTTGTGGTGAGCTGGCACTTTAGAAAATTATGCAGAGCAGGTTCTTTTGACTTTCACGCTATTTAGTGGACAGTTTGTAATGACAACACTCTGAATGACTTTTTAATATTCTTTGGCATATATTTACATACATTTCTTGCTGCTTATTGGCACAAATGTGTACCAATACTGATATGCCACATATATATATATATATATATATATATAAAAACAAACTCTTTCTCTCTGACCCAGATACAATTTGCCTTCAGTAGCCCGTGCTCAGTCGAGAGACAGCGAGTTTGACTATTGAACCCAGATACTTTTTCTTTATTGAGATGAATTGAGAGTTTACTGACTATGGAGAATTTTTTTTTAAATGTTAAAAGATGTGAACAGTCCAGCTTTAAGTGATACAACAGCTGACACAGTTAATCAAATTAGAATTTGAGAGGTCCTGAAATATGAATACGATAATCTAATCCTTGTTTCCCCAATCTGTCATGTGCAAGTGGCTTTTTTCCAGTACATCGCCGCAACTATGAGATACCTGTTAGCATTGTAGTTTATGTAGTAACAATATGGACACAAAGTACTTTAAACCGCGGAGGTGATTGCATCCCTTTCCAAAAATATAGGGTAGTTTTCATTCTGGTATGAAAATACTTTTCTTTTTCATCTGCTTTCTTTGCAATGTACATATTCACAAGGTCACCTTTGAAAAAAGCCAGTAGTTTTGTCCCGCCCACGAAGATTATACCAAATCAGCTATCATCAATTGATCAGAGATGGGCCGCTAGGATGCGTCTCGAGATATCCAGCCACTTTCCGTGAGGAAGATCAGAATGCGCTTCTTGAGGACCTTGTCCAGGTAGCTGGGCAGCCGGCTCTTGGCTGGGATGCCTTGCCTCTTCTGCAGGTGATCTTTGATGATGATAGTTTTGACAGTCAGGTACCGTGCTGGGCTGAGATTCAGAGAGCTACACAGCACCTTCTCTCTGTCTGACAGCAGCTCAAAGCCGGTCAGATTCTCAATAGTGGCAAACTCACCATCTTTGCCCTCTTCTTTGATCCCACCTCCAACCCCCAACCCACCAGCAAGGCCTCCTCCCCCTGTAGCTCCACCCCCGAGTCCCATACCAGAAACAAGCCCGCCGCCTCCTGCGCTGCCTCGTTTGGACGTGATCACACTTTTGTTCTCTTTGCGTTTCTCTCGTTTGTGTCGCGCTGATTCATACTCTGCCGACTCCTCCAGGCGGGTGATGCCGTTGCGACGGAAGCGTTGCAGCTCACGCACTTTGGCCCTAAGCACGCGTTCCTTATGCATGTTCTCAAATAAGTCTTCAAACTCCTTATGGGCCATGAACTGGCAGAGCCCCCGTAGTCTGAGCCGTTGCTCTTTCTCTTCCTTGGTGATCTTTCTTTTGGGGGTACTGGAAACAGGACCTGATCCTGCCGCTGTTGTGGAACCTGATCCGATTGTGCCGCCTCCAGCTCCTGCACCCCCCACCCCACCAGCGCTGCATACGACTCCCGGCGCTCCCGGCTTCTCTTTCTCCTTGTCCTTCTTGTCCCGGCCCAGGAACGTGGGCACCAGGTTGTAGTCCCGGGCAATGTTCTTACGTCGCTGGCGCTCTCTGAGCTTTCGCACATAAATGTCCACGTGGGCGCGTTTCATTTCAATTTCCACATCCTCATCGTCGTAGTTGACAGACAGCCCGCTGATGAGCTTCTCTGCGTCCTGGTCATATTCAATCTCATAGTCGTCACGTAGCGGCATGTAGCCCAGCTGCTGCTGCTCGGCCAGGCTGATCTCCAGCGGGGGGAGTGGGGTGGTGAGGCTCGGCGACAGGGGCCCTCCGCTGGGGCAGGTGTGGTCCGTCACTCGGTTGGGAATGCTGTCGGAGATGCAGGCCTTACCCAGGTTCCCGTGGATGTACATGGTGACGTAGTGCTCCATGACTTCCTGAGGAGTTCGGGTTGCTCCAACGTGAGCGGCCATGTCCTCCTGAAACACAGCACAGACAGGAAGTTGGTAGACAAGCAACAAGCATCAAAGAAGAAATACAAAAAGGATGGATTTTATTTTCTATTTCTTTTATTTTCATTCTATTTAAAGGGTTCAGGATTTTCTGAAAATGCCCATGTACGTTTTTATGAAATATCCACGTAATTTGATGCCAACAATAAGGAAAGTAAGACAGTATTCAGTTACTTACTATTAATAAAACCTAGAGCACCGGATAGGCAACATGCAAGTGTGTGCAAGATAAAGATTATGATTATAAATTATTCAAGTCTTGAATCGTAAAACATTGTGGTGGAGTTCAATTTTGACTTATGTAATAAGTTTGTTGTAAATACATTTGATATTTAGCATATAGTTCAGTGTCTGATTATTCAACAATTTATCTTAACCATCTAGCAATGCATTTATATATTTGTGGTACATTTGCGTATTTCAATGTTTCATTTATCATGTGTGTGATATTTAAAACGCCCGGTTACACTTAACGTTCCTACTACGTAACCTACCTGCATCCCACCTTCACCTCTAGCTTAGTGGACTTCCTTTAAAACATATTTATTTCTGACCAGTTCTTTAATTTGATCTCTTCTGTTCCTCCTGGTTTGTCATATACAAAGCTTTTCGTCCAACGCTTACGACTAGGAAGCCAACACGTATTGCCCTAAAGGTCATTAACGATAACTTCAAATGATCGATACTTGACGACTTGTTACTGCCACATTTACTTTGAACTCAAAGTACAAGTCATACTAGGAACGTAGCTACTGTGCTGAAGGGAGGAATGAAGTGAAGTAAGTTAACAAACTGATGTACCCAGTTTCCAAATCCATATTGCTCGATGGCATCGAGGAGCGACTGCTCTTCCCTGCTAGTCCATCCTCCCGCTGCCTCGGGACCCCAGAGGGAGAACCGACCACCGTCGACCTGCTGGTAGCCGTGCCATCTCCGGTGATTACCGATTTCTGCGCCCGCCGAGAAACACTCCGGACACAGCTCGATATCGGGGCAGTCGGTGCAGCGAAGCCGCAGGTTCGTAACATCTGCTAGGCAGTTAACGCAGTACTTCTTCCCCAGGTCGGCCATGTTGCCTGGCTCCAGCTCCTTCTTGTTGTTGGAGGCAGAACTGCGCGCATGCGCATAACGAGCTTCGCGGCGCAACCTACTCAAATCCTGACTGTTAATATTAATGAGTGAGATCGTGGCGCCTCTGATTCGTTCACGATCCCAGTTTCCAGGACAACCGAAACAAAACGAGCCGTGTCGCTGACTTCGGAAATGCACGAGCCCTGTAGCGAAATGTAATACTACTTTGGGGTATTTTCTTTCTATTGAAAATGTATGGAAAGACAGAAAGTGAGGTGAAGAATGATGGGGTTTTAGCGGCAGATCCCTTCAAGGAGGAAGTTAATGGTAAGGGGAAGCAAGGCGTTCGAGCTGAAATGAATGCATCAGATCATGTTGAAGAAAACTCTAATAAAGGGACCCGTGTAGAAGAAGAGACACGATTGGAACCAGAAGAGAACAGTGGAAGCAAGTTCCAGGGTGTTGATTACATCAAGACATGTGAAACGTTGGATTTGAAGAAGAATGTAGTGATGGAACAGCCCCACGAGGAGTGTGCTGTTTTTCGAAGCAACATTATTAATAAAAATGGACCACTCAAATTGCACTGGGAGACTCCAGTAGGCCAGAACACCATTTGTACACAGGAGGAAGGCGACGCTGAAGAACATAAATCCACTTGTGCTCCTGCAGCTGTAGGAGCTACCAGCCCTAAAGAGACCACACTCCTCCAGGAGCTGCGTGAGGACAGGGAGAAAGCCCTCCGGCAGCGCGGCCTGCTGCATGCAAAGCTGGCAGAGTTCTTCCACAAGAAAGCCATGGACGACGGCCACATGGGCATGGACCAACCGCTGTTGGAGCAGGAGTACGAGAAGCACATGAGCATCCTGACTGACCTGAAGCTGCACGTCGCAACTGAGCCGCCGGCAGAGAAGCTGAGATTAAAGTTCCAGGAGAAGCTGGACATGGTCGGTGTGATTTCTGGCGCCTGTGCAGGCCAATCTCATACATGAAACAGATTTACAGTTGGCACAGCATACAACCATCTCCGAGGACCTTCACGGAAAAGAAAAAAACAGAACGATCCCTCCATCAGGATGGGCTGAATTATAGATCGCTTAATAGAATCACAACATACTCAACCCATATGACAGTGATACATACAGAGAGTAGTTATAGGAGTAATACTAATATAATGGAAGCATTCATTATTGAAGCAGTGGATACAAAAAAACCTATTGAACAAAAATAGAGAAATGTGCAATTTAAGATTCATGAAAGTGAAATGAGAAGAGCTTTGCATATTCGACAAGGAAGAGAATATTCACAGGATCAAGTAGATATGTGCATGTGATGATGATGACCCCAAATATTTGATTATCTGTTAATTTAACGTGTTGTACAATAATGCAGCATGTGGTGTCTCTGGGGTGGGTAACCCTCAGGGCTGGGGGTGCGGGGGTCCGAGGGTTCTGAGGGCCCCGCTGTGGCAGCTGCAGTCAAGATGAGACGGTTCTTGTGGCGTGTGGTTTTAGTGCCGGTGGACCCCAGGCAGCTGTAGGGAAATGTTTTTGTCCATTCATGATGTATTACTTTCTACAAAAGGTGGAGGTGAGGTGCTTTTTGAGCCATGGGAGTGATTTAGGAGAAAGGAGAAAGTTAGCATGCAAAATAAAACTGCAAAAAATAGTGTAATCTGAACACATGAAGGGACCCACTGTATGCTATTTATAAATTACAATTGAAACATTTAGCAAGTACTCACCTTATTATTATTATATGAAATACACTTATGATAAAAACGATGCTGTTTTTCAACGTATGCTAAAGCACCCAATTGAGAAGTGTGATTTACTGATCCGTGAGTCCTGTTCATCCTCAGGTGGAACGAGAATGGGGAGAGTTGGTGGCATTGGAGCAGCCGGTAGTGGTGGCAACACTGAGCCCATGCCTGGGTAAACAGGCCGCTCAGCTTAAAGTGAGGGAAACCGTGGCAACAGAGGAGCTGCTGCAGGATGAGCTGACCAAACTGCGCCTCAAGCACATTCAGCTGAAGATCAAGATTCACAGACTGGAGACCGAGCTGCGCAAGGAGGATGCACCTGACAGGGAGCCCCTACATCTGCAGTTTGAGCAGCTGCAGACAGAGAGGCAGGAGCTGAAAAAACTCAATAAAAAGCAAAATGAGGAATCTTCAAAGATGCAAAAAAAGATCAGCAGTAGTTTGGAAGTAGGTTGACCAATCTAAAAGTACAGATTGCGTATTCAAAATTAAGAATTCAGGTCATTAGCAAGTGAGTGAGCTGTGTTTGTTTTTATTAGTTCCTGTCAAACGTGAAGGAGAAGCTGTTCTGGAGTCAGAGGGAGGTCCAGGCCCAGCGAGAGAAACTGGCCGAGCTGGAGGCCACGGTGTCACGGAAGAGGGACCGCCTGACCAGGACCAAGCAGGCCCGCAACAGCCTGCTGGAAGACAACCTAAGGCTGAAGGAGCGTCGTGGCCTGCTGGGGAACTGGGTCCTGCTGCGTGACTATGAGGACACTGTGGACGCCTCCAATCACCTGGAAGAACAACTGGACACAATTAAAGCCGCCAACAACATCTCTGGTACCATCCACTGAGCATCAGGGATGTTGGTGACAAGAGGAGCCTGGCAAGAGCTAAAGGCATAAGTAAAGTTTGCTTTTTGTGTCTTTTTGTTACAGTATGCATGCTCCATATTGTTGTCTGTATTTCCTAACAGCTGACACTGTAAGTCTCCCAAGACAAATTTCTTTCGGGACAATAAAATCAGATCTAAGTGAAATTGAAATACAAACCTGTTGTACAATGGCAATAAAGAATGTGACGATAGAAACAGTTTATCTCTAATGGCATAGCTCATAGATTTGATGTGAAATGTCATTTTAAAACATGCGGCGGGTAGGTAGTGACCCACATATGCTTTAGCACACTCTAATGCATTTCACATGTGGTATATTCAACCTGTTTTACATTAAATGTGATCTCATTTGAGAAGCTTTCGACTGCAGGAAGGAACTGTCAATGTATTGTTCAGCCTACTTGAAATACTTTTGAGAAGATGTTGAAAAGAGAATATCAACACATGGTCCATTAAGTAACTCAAGAAGATTTCCCACTTGTCTGGAAATGTAGACATTCCAAGTATGTAGTACTTCACGGACCTCAGTTGATCAGACACAATCGATCAGAAAAGTGGCAGCTGGTGGAAGATTTTCTAGGTAGCTGTCCACATCTACAACACTTCTATTTTAGCCAACATCCCAGAATTATTTAATGCAAAACCGTAAAAGATATCAAACGCAATACTAATTTGTAGTTTAATATTCAGCATTTATTGCAACACAAAAAAATAGCTGTAAATAAAAGCTTAAAAATCTTATTTGTGTCCCCCGCACTGGCAATACAGTATAATTATATTATATATTATAATTTTTCCTCTTCTCTCAAACTGAAATGTTTGATTTGTTCTTTTGTCCGTCAATGAACTTGATACTGACGCAAATATTAACATTTTTTAGACTTTAATATTATCCTTTTTTTCTTTTTCTTTTCGGCTGAACGGTTAGGATCACACCTCATTCAGAGGTGAGAGAAAACAGACACGTTGGATGTTAAAAATATAACACAAATATTTAATGCGGTCATGAAGAGACTTTGGGATATACAAGGCCCAGCAAGGGCAGCAAATACGATCACTAGTCAACATTCTAATTGAATGGTAACTAGAAGACTGCTCCTTGGTATAACGTGAAAGGTTATGTTGCTCCACCAATTTAGAAGAACCTAGGTTTGTAAAGTCTTGTTAGTCCCATGTCTCTTTCTATCTGTGTCTGTGTGTATTTTCCCCTGATTGCACTCCTCCTACTCACCTGCCCCATCCAATCACTGCCTCCCGTTGCCTCATCACCCTTCTCATATATACTTCCCTGTGTTCCCCCGCTCCAGTTGTCAGATTGTCATAGTTATGGATTCAGGCTCTCCAGCAGTTAGGTCTCTCCAACCAAACGCATCCTGGAGGCAACAGTGCTAACCACACCACTGTGCTGCCCCTAGTGAATGTTGCATGAAAAAAACCAAGCAACCGAACCAGGAGACATGAGAGAAAGAGCGAGCTTGAACTGTCAACTTTTAAAGGATCAACCATGATCCACCTCGAAAATAGACATTTAGTGGATACTCATCACAACCCAATAAGGCACACAGTCACTTTTTGGGAAGTTTATTATTACATACACAAGCTGGTCTGTCACCAAGGCGGAGAGTGTCTGAGATATACAACAAAGTAGAAAATTATAAGGTGCAAAAACAAACACACATACACAAAGCCAAGCTATGTACAGCAGCTTCACATTAACTGACATCAGACATATTGCTCAGTTATAAGCCATGCTGAGCCAAAAGGGAATGAAAATCAACGAGACACGTGTAGCTAGAACCCCCCCACACACAATTCGGTCTTCCCGCTAGATCAATCTGAAAATATTGATGCGAGCGAGGAGCAGTTGGTGCTCCTGTCCTGAACATATTGATTTCCAAACTCTAGCTTTAGTGAACACTATCGCTATACTTCTGTCAGAAACCCCAACAGAGCACCATGTACATATTCCAGTGTCACCATGACAATGAGCGTCAAACATTAAGAACACATTTGTGTTTGTGACACACACAACCACACGCATTTGTTTCTGTGTCACAAACACTATTTATATTTTACATGTTTGTGTATGATTGAAAATTAAAGTCACAATCATGAATTTAGCAGAATACACAACTTGAGTTAACAGCATGTTTATTTCTAAAGCATCCAAAGCACACGCCCGTACACACACACACACGCATGCACTCACAAACACAAAATTAGAACGCAAGACTACAATAGACCAGTGGCGGGATTAGCCATGCGAGTTGAGCTTTCTTCCACCACTTAGATCTAGAGTGCTGCTGCAAGGGACCATTTAAAGAAACACAAAGACTCATTTACCTTTGAAACAGCATGGCTAAAAGTGGATAGGGTGACTTTGAATACGGCTGGGCTTTCACTGGTAAATAACTTTCAGTAAAGAAGTTTATTATGGCCTTTAATCAATTGAAAAGCTTTGTTGATTGGCCAGTATGATTAGTTTGTGAGGGCGACTGTGGGTGAGTGGGGAGTACGGTCGTCCTCCAATCAGAGGGTTGTGGGTTCGATCCCAGTCCTGGCTAACCCGCATGTCGATGTGTCCTTGGGCAAGACACTTAACCCAACATTGCTCCTGTAGCTGCGACTACAGCGTGTGATTGTTAGTTACTGATGGGCAGGTGTCACTGTGTATGGTTCTCCTGTCCTCAGTGTGTGAATGGGTGTGAATGGGTGAATGATGTCATGTAGTGTTAAAGCGCTTTGAGTGGTTGGAAGACTAGAAAAGCGCTATACAAGTACAGTCCATTTACCATATCCTTCTTACCATTGTTCTTTTTAGTAAGTTTAGGAAACATGTGGATCCTGGTTGAAAGAAGCATTTGCGCTGTGTACATCATTGTTGGGATGTACTTTGTTTGCTAATGCTGATATACATGACAGTGTAGGGTACGAGATTTCATGGACGCGACAAATTCATCAAAAAGAACTTTAAATACACCAACATAAATAAAAGGGGGAAGCTAGTATTTCCTCAAAACATTTACAAATAAATATTGTTTTTTAATATTGCATTTTTAACCCACACTGTTAATAAAAACCACTGACTGAAAAGAAAGTGGAGCAGACAGTCCAAGTGACACAACTTATTACACTAAGCATGCTCAATGTAAGGCAATTTACAAAAAATGTGAATGTTTGTGGCACTGACAATGTGAATGTTTTTGTTGACAGTTTTAAATAAATATATGCACAATTTCTTAAAAGAAAAAGACGATATGAAATTGGACTAAAGTGAGGGGCAGTCTGGTTTATGTGCCGGTCTTCTGCTCCCATTCCTGCAACAAACACAGAGAACCATCTTTGAGGATCATCAGTAATACAGCTCAATAAAATCAATCTAGTCCAATAGCAACTCAAGCTTGTTCAAATAACAAGAACCATCAACACCAACATTACTGTTATTTTGTTTAGAAAGAACAACAAGAACAACAAGTTCCCACATCACAGACTCCTCTGCTGACTCATAAGGCCAACTGTCAATCACTGGTTCATATGGTCGGTGATTCAGTGAGGTGCACTGATCAACCAGGACCACTTCCCAACCTCAGCCAGTCCCTCAGGTCCCCCAACTGTTTAGCCTTTTAAAGGATGAAGGAAGATCTGGTCAGCTGAACAGGAACATTATTTGACCAGTAGGGTTTAGTGAAGTCCTATCCGATCTATGACTACAGACACTGCCAATGCACTGGTGTTGTATATATGGACATTTAGCTGACAAAATAAACCTGATATGGCCTGATATTGGCAAAGGGTTAAACATTGGGTGCTCTGACCTTGGCCTTTCTGAGGACGTGTCCCCGGACTGGCGAGGCCTTCTGGCCCCCCTGCTGCCGGCGAAGGAGTGAGGCGCTGTTGACCGGCAGGGAGCAGGACTCTGTGTCACTGCAGCTGGAGAAGGGATGAAGACTCCTGGGCCCGTCGCAGCGTTGCAGGGGGACTACACACACACATACACATACACACACATACATACACACACAAAGATAGACAGGGTAAGTTCCTTAGTTTCAATCCAGCAACATGTGACTTGTGAACAGTACAGGAGCTGTGACCTGAATTCCAGAGGAGCCAGCTTTTGGTTCGATCGTGAGGCCCAGGGTGACCCCGCCGCTGAGAGCTTTCTTCAAGCTCTCCTTTACCTCAGTCATCTCCAGCTCCATGTTAACCCGCTCCTGCTCCTTCTGCCTGCAGTCCTCCTCCACCTTGTTTAGTCGCTCTGACAGCGAGGCGTGGGAACGTTTTCCTAAGGTAGGAGTGGGGGATTTCTCAGGCAATGTAAACTTGTGAGTGGAAGGGTTGGAGAGCTTTTCCCAAACACTTTCTGTTTCTTTGGCTTTTTATTTCAGACATAACCAGCTCTTATTTCACCTACCAGCTGCAGCTTCCACTGCAGTGCGCAGGTCTCTCCTCTCCTTCTTTAGGTAGGTCAGATGGGTTCTGATCTCCTGCTTCTTCTTCATCAGCTCTTCCTCCTTGACCTGCAGCCGCTTGGCGTCAGCCTCCACGCGGTTCTTCCCATACTTGCACTGCTCTGCATCTACACAACAAAGACTAGGTAAGAAGAAGCTTCAATCACGAGGGCAGTCACTTCCCCAACCGTTAACATTACCAAGCTAGCACATGTCATTTGCTGATGTTGTTATATTAGTAATTTCATTTTCAACCGACGTTCCAGTTGACATATTTCAGGAGGACATGGTGACCCTAACCCCCTAACCCTATATTTAAAGTAAGGTTTGTTGTCTTTCGACTTTCTGATCTGTTTATCCTCAAGTCTTTTGCTGAGTGAGAGACGTCCGCACAACTTTATTTAGTTGATGTAGACAAGCTGAGGACTGAGGATGTTTGGAGGTTTAAAATAACAGTTTAAGTAATTATTAAACTGCTTGCCTTCATTTCCCACCCTGAGAATCTGCCACTTCCTCCTAATTTAATCTTGCTGAGTGAAATGGTATTACCCATAATAAATAGCCGTTAAAGTAAGATGAGAGACCAATGTTTTAATTAACTTGAATTAACTTTAAAGACCTGAGCACCAGGTGGAGCGGATGTGGCCCATTCATCAAGAGCGCAGCAGTCACTCTCAACTACAGTTAGAGCAGACAAACCCCTCTGTCCAGAATGTAAATTAATCGTGCACGCCCAGACCCACGACTTCAAAATAAAATCTCAGGATCATTTTTTTTGCCCAGGCAAAGGCCCATGACCCATTGCTCTAGGACAAGACCAGAGAGTAAAAGAAGAGCTCAGTCTTTACCATCATGAAGTAGCCACTGAGCTACAAAACCTTCAGCATCTTCGTTACCCTTAGTGGAAAAAGACTGAGGGTCTTTCCGATCCAAACTGTGTGCGTGGAGATGCATGTGCTTTACTTGTGAGAAATAACTGAATTAAAGTACAGATGATATTTTCAAATTCAGATGCTGAAAAGGTGAGAACTGTGTGACACACTCCACATCTCAACATGACACATATTCTTTTATTTCTATTTGGACATTCAGAGGAATGGCTGGCTGCCCAAGCTGTTACAACCCTCATGGTTCACAAATTGGAAAAAAACTACTATTCCGAACCAAATGGTTTAACAGGACCACATGTCGCCATCTTCCAACTATCTGGGCGCCGTCTCACGCTCCACTACCTCAGTTTCAGTCTGGCTTGTGTACGACATATGGATCGTCTCCAGGGTTTTAAGTTATTTACTCCCTATAAACCAACTGTAACTTGGATATTAATTGTAACTGTAACGTAGTGTTTTCCCAAACAGCGGTGAGTTTTGCTGAAAGGAAATCATCAGTGGGGGGGCTGGGACCCCTCTGGGAAAGGTGTTCTATATTTAGATGGAAATGCTTCTCCACTTTGAATTTAATTTACAAATTACCCAAAAGCCCCCTTTTCTGTCCTGCCTTTAAGATATTTTAGTTTGTTAAGCTCTTCTGATATCAACAGGGACAATAATGTGAAATCTCTTGTTGTAGCTACTTACTGGAGTCGTTCCGTTTCAGAGAAGCTGTCCCATTGGTCCCATTGACTCCATTCTTCTTGGTCTGGTTCTTTGGCTCTGTCTTTTGTTTGGATGCCATCCCATTGGTCGCCGTTCCCTTCTTTCCCTTCAGCTGATTGGAGGAGAAAAAGGAGGTTGGGGACTTTTAAAGGACCCATCGTATGCCCATTTTTCCACAAGTTGATATGGTTCCTTGGGGTCTCAATGGTCCAAGGCCATGTAGGCAGACTCCCTACATGGGCGTGCTTCAAAATCTACGTAGACGTTGGTGGTGATCCCATTGGACGCACTCAAGCATATCGCATACCACAACACAACACCACACCACAACAAGCCGCGTTAGTTGTTTTTTTCCAGCGTTTTTGTGTTGGGAGACATGCCAGATATCCAAGTTATGGTATAGAAGCACTAAAAAAGTGGAATTTTCATAATATGGCCCCTTTAATATATATTAGAAACATTAATACTCAACTGCTCACTACAAAGAATACTAAGAATTTATCCCAACTATTATACCAAATCAAACCACTAAACAAGATGAATATGATGCAGTTTAAGAGCCTAAAGATGTGTCTTTTTCTTAGAATCTACAAAGCCCTTGATCTGTGTGTTCCCTTGATATAGATATATAATACCTTTTTTTTCACGTATGTACATGGTTATGGTTCTGTATTTGTTTTATTTCCAGCAGTCTGCTGTTTCTATCTAAGCACAATCTATACAACGTCAAATTCTTTCTTTTTTTCGCACATCCACACTTAATAAAACATGATTATGAATCTGAAAACATAAGGAATGCTGGAACTTGTATCGTAAACAGTAACCTTTAATTGAAATTAGTTATGAATAGTAATTTAGTAAAATGGGTTCCCTGAGTAGTAATTTATTTCTTTTAACACTTGGGGGCAACATAATATGTATAAAATACCAGCTTAGAAAGAGTTCAATTCAATTCATTTTATTTTGTATAGTCCAAAATCCCAAATCCCAAATTTGCGTCAGAGGGCTTTACAGTCTGTACACATGCAACATCCTCTGTCCTCTGACTACAACGGATGTCATGTGTACAGAGTTATGTACACCTGATGAATATAGGGTCCATATTATTACTTCTAATGCATCTTATCTGCTTTTTATTGAGATGATCTTTCTTTCAATTATGGGACTATGTTGGAAAAAGACAATAAGGAAAAGTATAACTCCAAATTCTACATCATGATGACAGCTTGCTCGCAGTGGTTTAATAAATAAATAGTGACTATGTTCATATGGCAGATTGTATAGGGATACATGTTATTATAAAGTGGGACAGGTCCATATAATGTCTGCAAAACCACACAGGTGTTCTTTATACTTGATTGTAATGAGAGGTGGGTCAGTCTTCCTAAAAAGGAGATATCAGGAAACTTAAAAAAAAAATCTTAGGTTACATATTTGTACCCTCACATAGACTTTGTTTTTGGTAGAAGGTGAGGCATCCACCTCAACACATTACACTCCACCCAAACATGATAAAGGTACTTAAGGGTGTAAATAAGTAAATTACTAAGTAAAATCAAATAAGTAAAGTGAGTAAGATGAATACACAAACAATGCTTCGGTAGCATCTGTGCACAAATTGCTCTAAGAGTCTACTGGTTAAAAAATAGGGTTGAATTGTGTAATAAGCAGAAGAAAAATCAACAAATAACATGGGACCCCTTCCCTTTAATAAGTAAATTAAACAGAGTGACTGTGGTATCTTCTACTCCTCTGCGTGGCCTATAAGATAACTGCAGTTTCCCTTAGAATTTCAGACCATACCAGTTTTTCAAAACCTTGTGTTCATTACAATGAATTTGAGAGCAACTGGTCTAAAATCATTTAGACTTTTGGGTGCACTAGACTTGGAAACATGTTTGGGCTCTTTAGAAAGAAGCAGATACTAAACCACAGAATTAGTGCTCAGTGTTACCAAAACAAAAAACGTTGAAGGTACACAGTTAAAGACGTAGAAAGAGTGGTAAATCATTATTGAAAGAGTAGAACATCACAACAGTGATTAGCAGAGTGTTAGTCACCTGAGCAGTAGCTTTAGTTTTAGTATCAGCAGCCAGGAACTTAGAAGAGACTTTAGAAACAGGGCTTTTGTAGTGACTGGCAGAGGAAGAGGAAGAAGAGGAAAGCTTGGGAGGATAGCAAATGTCCAGCTTGGACGATGGCATGTTCTCATAGAGCTCAGCGTTCTCATAGTGCACCTCCTCATTCAGCTGGCCCCCCCTTGTGTTGGGACTGGAGTACTGCACACCCGGGTCCTTAGGTTAAAGCACGCAAGCAGAGAGAAGAGAGGAGAAAAGGAGAGGAGAGGAGGAGAGATACATAACAAAGAAAGAAAGTTGCAAAAGAACAGATAGGAAAGATGATAAGTGAATAGTGAAAGTTACTCTCTTTTGCCATAATACAGTACGTGTCATTTAATGTAGACTAAGTGTCATATAGCATGGAAGAAATCTTACTAGTGGTGGACAATACAGGAATATTCCTGCGTATGACTTGATTATTTCCCTTAAATGTGGGGACTCAGGTTGTGCTAACTTTGCTGTGAACGTATAAAGTGATTTTCAAACTCGGTGAGGTTCTAGCTTTAGAATCTTGTAAGAAACAAATATTCTTATTTTGGCAGCATTTCCACAATTCTTCATGCATCATCTTTGGATAAAAAGTTAGAAAATGTTGTGCTTGCCTTAGAAATGTCACTATAGACTCCAACAGATTTACACATTTGGCAACAGCAAGAGTGAGACAAAGTCCAACTAACTCTCCATCCAGACCCCTTGTTTAATTTGGGTGACACATTTTTCAAGGAAAGAAGATACCAAGTTTGCTCTTAATAATACTGCAACAACTGTTTACTAATGCTGCTAATAATTTCTAGAATTTCTATACTGCTACTAGAACTACCACTATTCCTACTAGCACTACAACAACTACAACCAATAGCACTACTACAAATAGCTATAGAAACAAAAAGCTATTATTACTGCTAATAGTACTACTTCTATACTTGCTACCAATAATACTATTACTACTACTTTTACCACTATTATATATATTGCGACAGTATTTATTTGAAATATCTAAACATATGTACATATGCCTATGCACACATATGCATATGCCTATGCACACATATGTGCATAGGCATATGTTTTTCAACTTTGCTACAAGGTGCTATCTGACGTTGTAGATGTGTATCGCCTTTGAGCAGCACTGCATCCTTACCGTTCCGTTAATGGGAACATCGTCATAGTGCAGAGCCATTCCAGTGGGGCAGGCATAGCCATTGACGGGGTTGTCCAGGTATGGGTTAAGAGAGACAGCACGCTTACTGGTGAAACTGTATAGAGAAGACATCCAGATGAATTTCAAAATAATCCACCTTGTATAATCTCACATGTGCATGTATTATTACTCCAACATTGGTCTATACACGGTAGATGGATGGTTGGCAACATCACATTTTACACAGCTGCAAAATTTACCACAAAATCAGTTAATGTAAAAAAAAGGTTTTAGGTTGGTGTTTTCATCACTTGAGAAAATATGTGTGTCCCTCACCAGAAGGACTGTTTGGCCAGCTGAATGACATTGGCGGTGGTCTCCACGTCGATGTAGTCGTAGTGCAGAGTGGCAGGGTCCGTAGTGGAGCCGGTCTCAGCCAATAAAATACCCAACCAGCGGCCCATCTCTTCAGAAGAGGAGGCCTGGAAGAACAAGACAGTGTCTGAGGCACTTCTTGCTGCTTCTTCTTCTTTCAAGCCAGGACCCAAAAAATGATGAAGTCGGAGCAGACGACTATTTTTCTTCTAATGTTTAATATATTATTGTACATCTTTCTTTACGAAAACACGGTGCTGGCGTGGATGTGCGTATGTATCCATGGTGGGGGAAAAAACACCATTCACCATGAAACAGGAAGATGTTGTACCTCAACCGTCTAATCTGGTCCAAATGCCACATGTTTCATAAAATCCTGATGTTAACAACGTTAATTTAACAATTTTGAATGATCGTAAAATCATCACCTAGTGGCAACATGTTGTACACATTCACACCCTACTGCTCACAGGATAATCAGATCTATCTCAAATTGTGTTCTTCTTGGTTTGTATCCTTATGGTTGGAATGCACTTATTGTAAGTCGTTTTGGATAAAAGTATCAGCTAAATCAGCAAAATCATCTAAACCTTTTTGACCTCAGGGCCCAACACTAGGTTGGATTTGTATTCAATGACTAAATAAAATTAAAAAAGTTTAACAAGCAAAAACCTGATACAGTGATCATCACAAGGACATATATTTTATTATCTGTATGTAAACCTGCACAAACAACACTACCAAACAATTAATTGAACAGATAAAGTTAATATAACAATAATTTGAAAGGCTCGAGCCAGGCTTAACACAAAAATAACTATTACTTTTACTTTTAGAAAAAAACGGAGAAAATATAAATTTAATAAATAAATAATATGGTGTAATAAAATACATTCAAAATAATCCATATGTACATTTTTTTATTTTTATTTAAATAAGTGCGAATGAAAATGTAGCCTTAATCAAGTCAAATTAGTCACTATTTTGGCATCTCAGAACCAGCAGTTCCTCTTCATATCTTCCTCACATGACAACACGTGATCATGGCACATATCCGCAGCGGCAGGCAGAACCAACTCCTCCGCTATGGTGAAAGCTTTCTTGCATTGAGCAACACGTCTGGCTAAGAGCTAGCTGGCTTTCAAGGCAGATTTAGATCTGTAGCCCATTTTTCTTTCACGCCCCTCCCAGTTGATGCCCCGCCCCTACACCACATCAGGGTCAAAAGTCTGAACGTGAAATAAAAAGATTTGAACACGAAAAAAAGATCTGAAAGTTTTGAATCTGAAAATATAAAATCTGCAACCGAAAAATATAATACAGTGAATATTAAAAAATAAATACAAGTGAAGAATTAAAAAAAAAAGAATTTATAAGAAATTCTAAGAGTCAAAACTATTCTCAACCCGAAAATACTTTTTGTGCACTTATTTTTATTTTGAATATATTGTTGTATTCTTCAATGTTCAAGACCAAAAATTAAAATTTGTTTTTAAGATGAACAAAACTTTTGACCTGGGTTTGGCTCCATAGTTATGCTGTGTTCACACCAAAGGCAAAGCAAATTTTCGGCACGCTTTACTCGTGTTAGTTTACTCGGCCAACTTGTTGCAGTTATTTTGCTTCATTGGCGTGCCGCTTTATTCGTGCCTGAAAGGGGTGGGGCTTATCTCAGTTACTTGTCTCCGTAAAGACGGTTATAATAATTTCCGCTATCCACAATGGAAATAAATAACCACTATTTCTGCTCTTTATTTCTGTGTGAATTACATAAATGTCAGAACCGCAACGGGGTTGTGTTTGGATTCATGACATCATCCGTTGCCGCACACAGCTTGAATTCCACCGACTCCTCCAGGAAGTGCGTCTGGATGACTGCCGCTTCCAGCGCTGCTTCAGGCGGACCAGCTGCTGGTTTGAAGTGTATTCACGCTTTGGCAGCAGGACGGCGGTGATGACGAGTGGAGCATCTCAACTCTGATTGTCCACAAGACAGCGTCGACTACGTTCGACAAAGCCGCTTTGCCAATTTGGAACCCAACAGGAAATTGGCAATTTTTTATTCTGTATGAGCTCTTTCTCCCTGCAACAAGCTACAGTCCCCATCTGCCTTAAATGCACCACTATTGTCCCTGCCCGGAAAAGGCAATCGTCAAACAGCATAATTCCTATAAACACAACATAATCTCCCTTTTTGGTTTAAATTTATTCCTCTAAAAGTTTTTTTTATTGTTTTTTCCACATGGAAGTATAAAGTATGCCATTTCTCTTGGACTCTTCCTGCTTTATTTCACTAAGCAGTGATTTTCCGAGCGGCTCTACAGGCAGTTGGTTTAAACCTGTATGCCTATGCGCAGAATCAAATAGATAACTTGAAACTCACCTCCAGCACAGCAACCTCCTGGCCATTGCGAAGCAAGCGGAAGGCAAAGGGGTGTTTGTGATCGAGGCCGGGGCTGACCTCGCAACCTCGAAGGGGCAGCGAGGCGATGTGGCTCTTAAGGTCGTCACGGTCCTTATGGAGGAGCAGCTGGTTATCTTTCAAGCGACACCAGCGCTCCCTCCAACGGTTATTGGACAACACGTTCAGGTAGCCTGTTGACAAAGTGCATAGAGTCAGAAAGTTTAAGTCCTGACAAACTGCGCTGACCGTTTCACACGTTTCAACAATATGAAACCCTATTTGTAATACTATTAATGTCTGGCATTTGGCGAATCGGATGCATTACCTACTCGTCCACTCGTCCCATACAATAATTCAAACTGTACAACAAACAACAAGCATAGAGACAGAATAGAGATCACAGAAGGATTCAAATCAAGCTAAACAAAAATTACACAGAGATAGATCCGTCCGTCTTCATGTACAGATAAATGCTTTTATTCAAGAGCAGTATGTTGTTGTCGGGAGTCATGAAAGAAAAATGCACCAGACTGTGTTGTGCCTGTGTTGAGACTGAGCCGATTTCAAAGTAATAGCTAAAGTGATGAATTGGTATTTAGCTGATTATGCCTTCTATTAAATTTTAGAGACCTGATGTTTGTCTACAGTCCAGTAGTTGGGAATCTTGGCTTGAAATGTTCCAATCCAAGAATGCTAGTGAGGAAATGTTCCAAACCAAGAATCCTAGTGAGGAAAAGACTGTTTAAAAGGGTGTACCCTTATCCAGTAATATGCAATTAATTGCATTCAGCCTTCAAGGACTCTCAAAACATTATTAAGCGGGGTTCAGCTCAGGTCATTGGGAACATGTAGAAACACTTTGACCTTTAGACTACACACGAATAGATTAACTTGAATCTCTTTTTCTCACCACACAAGGGTACTTCTTCTTCTGCTGACGAGGTCTGCTCTTCTGTAGATGGCTTCTTCTTACCCAGTCCAATGATTTTAGTAATCTTCTTCCCTGCCCCCTTCCCTACTGTCCCAGTCTTCTGCTCAGACTTTGTGTTCTTCTTTCCTTTTGCTGATAGTAAAAAAGAGATATAGAGGACGATTGTCAATTGAATTCACAACATTAAATGAATGGAATATTACCGGTAGTTAAATCCTGAAATGAACTTCCTGAAGGAGACCTGCAGATTGAATGTGCTATCACATCAATCAGACCCTTGTGGGCTCTTTCTTGGGGAATTAGGTTCAGTTTGCTAACCAAGTGTCCCCACTAACTGGTCTGTGTGGGCTGATTTCAACTGGCCTAGTTTCCATCCAAATAGACAAATAAAAGGAGTTATGACACACATTCTGCTGGTGGAAACATTCAGTCGACTAAGGTTCAAAGAGGATATGTCTTAGTCCGTCTGTGTGCCTGTCTGTCTTTTAGTCAGACTGACCTAGGAGAACTAGGGAGGAATATAAAGTGTTGCCCTCCACAGAAGAAAACGTTTCAATACCCAGAACAGGACAGGACAGGACACGTCAGACTCCACTAATGAATAGTAGGCCAAGCCAATGGCGGAAACTGGTTACATTTAATTCTATTTTTAAACAAAAATCCACAAACTTCTGTTTCCGCGTTCATCTCTCCATAGTATTATATATTTACTACCATGGTGACTGCCTTGATCAAATAGGAAGCTGTCTATACTTAATTTCAGTCACAAGGATTTTCTCCAAATATAAAACATATACAAACAAAAATTACACACAACACTGCTCTGAGATGGAAAGCAGACACACAGAAAGTGATTCAAACCTTTTTAAAAAGGGAGGAATAATAATTATTTTACCCTTCAGGAGAAAATAAGGAGGAAAATTGATCAGGTAAATTTGACTAAATCTGCTCTTTTTGTTACCAGCCGTGAAAAGAATGAGGCTGATGAAGTAGAAAAGAGGGTCTTCCCTCAATGAGGGAATGGCTGAAGCAAGACAAAAAGCAATGGCGGCTGGTCCATAGAGGGCAATGAGGCGTGGCCCCACCATGAGCAAGAGAATTGATTTTTTAGAATTAAAAAAAATATATATATATTAATTTTTGTTGTTTATTATAAAAAATACATTTTACAAATAGTCAATATGTATGTTTTTAAAACCCAGTAATATTTGTAAATTAAAATATCTGAACAGAATATATGCTTTTCCTGCACGTCTCAGCTGGCCTCGGGCACGGTCCCAAAGCGGCGGGTCTAAGAAGCAGTTAACCTCATAAAGATAAATGAGTGACATTATAATTTCAGCGTCCTAAAATACATTGAGATTTGGGCTCGCCCTTTGCCGCCCTACGCTGCGCTCTTGTCAGGGCGAGTCTCACGACGCGCCGTTTAACAACATGACAAGACGAGCAGCGTCCTTTCAAGAAGACCCAACCCGAACTTGAGAGAACTTTGCTGGAGAAACTAGGGTAAAACTGCTGGACCCAGATGACGTCACAATCAGAAAAGGGACCGGCGTGAAAGGGAAGCCACACATACGACGCTTCTGTACAGACTTCTACACCTGAGATATTTAGCTAGCTAGCTATATATATATATATATATATATATATATTCATTGATATACTGAATTGTTTCAATAAGATGTCCTTATGTTCATGCTTGCTTCATGCTGCTAGCTAGCTATTCCAATGAGATGGGGAGGGGGGGATGGGCATAGATATAGTTGAATTATCTGGATATGTCTGATGAAGACCATTATAAACAGTTGAAAGCTCTTGATGAAGACCATATGATACAGTTGGACATGGAATTTGATTTGTTTGGCTAGGTCCCAAAGCACAAGATCAGGGTCAATGCATAACTGTTACAGTCTCATTTCATGAGGGCCAGTTCCTGACGGTAGTCAAGGCAATCAGGATTTCAGGGGATTCAGACTGCCCTTGCTATTGAAGACGGCAGAATAAACAATATATTTGAATGCTACTGACTCCAGTGTCAATAAAACAGTATGGTTGTTATCTTGACATCATCCCGGTTACCTCTAAATAGTACCTCAACTATAGTTCATTTTGTTGGACATTTCAACTACTCAGTGCTTCTGATTGAATTGAATTGATTTGAAGTATGCACATTTCCTATGTACCTGAGAGGACTTTATAAATTTTGTCTTCACAAATATGAATACCGATATAAATAACTCATCTGTTAGCAACCTTTTCTGCTGTTAGGTTCCAAGGATTAGACAGTGTATGTTGTACAGACTGCAAAGCCCTGTGTGTGATAAAAATTTGTGATAAAAAAATTGAATCTTGAAAGTTGAATATGTGTATTTCCCAGAAAATGTTCCTGCTGCTGTGGACTCTCACCTTGGTCGCCCTGTCCGTTCTCATGAGTCGCTTCCCCATCAGAGCTAGGCCTGTCACACGAGGATTTCTGGCAGTTAGGGAGACCAAGCAGAGGAGGAAAAATGGAGCACAAGCAGGTACAAAGTTAACAAAACATTTTTTTTCTATAGAAAGAAGGATAACGGCTGAAATTGAATTGAAAGTTAGGAGCAGTTTGTCATCAAAGAACACTTTTATGTATGAAGGCACACACATGCTTGATACAGCATGTCTAGTGTTACTTATTTTTCTCTCAATAACAATCAATAACGTTGTGCTTTCCCTACATTTCCATCATGTTTGTCAAACAGTTTCTGTGATTATGGCAAGTAAAAGAGGGCCTTATAGGACGGAGGTATATTTGGAAATGTGTTTGTTGATTTGTCTACTACAACAAAAACTAATTAATATGTAAGAAAGAATAGACAAAAAAACAAATCCTCTATTGCTCCTCAGATTCACAAGAATTACTAATGTGAATGCTAATGTTACACTGCGTCAGCTTGATGTGTGAACTATTATGCAAATATTCCTGCTGCATGCTTATCGTAAAAGTTCCAATTGGAAATTAGAAAAGGTAAAGTCATAAATAACTATTAATCAAAAGACTCAGACTCAGATCTTTAATCCACTTTTTTTGGCTGTTAAAAAGAAAAGGCCTACTGAGTTTTTCTTAACTCAGGATAACTTAACTCTGGATTCAGAACTATTTAGAGCTGAGACTTGGGAGGCAAACCCTCCGTTAATCTTGTCAATTAAAGGTCCTCTCGTGTGGTGATATACACTAGATTTTACAGTCAGTAAGTATTTGGACTGTGGCACAATCTTTCAAAATGTTCCCACTTTACAAAACAGGGAAAGATGGGAATTGTGTTTACCTTTTCCAGTTCGGGTTTATGAACTGGGGATCCAGATCCAGCTCTATCCAAGTCTATACCCCCATTCACACACACCTCTCTCATCACCTGAAAAACACAAGTTAATTCAGTTTTAGCTAATGAGGTTACTGTTCACATTAGACTAGATGAGGGAGTACATCCAATAGACGAAGGTGCCTATCAGGACTAGTGGAATATTAGGTCCATACTGGGATAACAACACATCAGTGGATCAATTATCTAAAAAAAACTAAATTGTTTTCTCACACCATTGCCACATAATTAAGCAGCCCATTGCTTCAGCCAAGAAAGCATGCCTGGAGTAATGCAAGCCACATGTATGGTGTACTCCCTCTTCTCTCGTATCCCATCATGCTACTGAAAGGCAGCCAAGGGATCATAAGGCAATGCAGACCATGCAGTTAGTAACTACAGTAACTACAGGAAGTAGAGAGCGTGCATGCAAGTGGTGTAGGAGTTGGTAGAGGGGTGGGGATGTCTGCTACACACATTAGACACCAAAGAGTTTTATTATATCAATGGAATACGTGTGCAATAATGTCCAGTGAAGGGGTGAATGAGATCCGCAGGGCTCTGGACGGGGCGCCAGTGTGCATAACTGTGACCTCATTGGAAACCTAGCGTCAGATCTGTCAATCCTTGGGGTGTTTGGAGATGAGCGGTGGGCAGCGGGAAATAAGATTGTGTGTGCGGATACACACACACAAACAACATCATTCTTTCCACAAGCATTCTGAACTGTCTCTGGCCTCGCAGAGACCCTCAGCTCATTGGTTTTGGCTTCGAAGGAGCATAATTGGGTTTTGCGGCGGAAATGACAGACTGTGGCTCTACGCGTTTGGCTCTAAGAACAGCTCAGAGGTTGGAGAGTGAGACGGAACTGCAATATCATGTCAATCTTTCAATGGAGAGCTACGATGCGAGACTGAGGTGCTACATCAGTTTGATGATTTTCTACAAATCAAAAACTTAGTGGGACTGAGTGCAGTAGTTTTGGCTGCTCCACAAAACCTATAAAACAAACAAACAAAAAACGTTTTTGTCTTGAATTGGACTTTTGTACTTGACATCAATGCATAAAAACTGTGCAACCAATGTGTAGGATTTCAAGGCAGCAGGTGGTGTTGTATATTTCCATCAAGCATGACTTGAAACTACAGTGGCCTAAGAGAAGAAGACTCCCTCCCAATGTAGATATGAAGAGCTCATTCTAAGCTAACAAAAATACAGTTCTTAGTTACAAAAATGTAACCATAGTTAAATTCAACTGTTATATATTGCCCAATATATCTGCTTGAATCCTGTACACTGGAGATTGTTACTCTATGCATTTGCCTCCAAGTGCCTTTATTTGAGAGCTAGAGGCCAGGGCAGGTACATGTGAAAAAGATTCACAGACAAACCAGAGACATTTTTGTTCATGGGTGACATCTTAACCACACAGGCTACCCCATACCTGGAATTTCTAGAATTAAATCAAAATTCCGCTGATCTACAGTATTGAAGATGCTTTGAAATTGTCTTACAAAACTCAATAAACCTGAATAGCTAGGGTCCTACAGTGCTACAGGGCTGGGTAACATACAGTAGGTGCATCTATCAGATTTGGTCAAGCCCTCTTTTAGTAATCTTCATTTAGAAACTAGTTTTTTCTGTTAGTATCATTGTTTGTTGTGCTGTGCTGTGCTGTAGGTATTTGATTATTTTATTTTTGTGAAATGCTTTCAGGCTTTAAATGCTTTGGTACAAATGTTGAATTGGTTAATGCTATATCACGGTTTCCCCTACCATTATAACAGCCCCCCGACCCCTGAAAAAGTGAAACAACTATATAGTTGATCCTACAATAATAATCAATAAATTAATACCAAAATAGTAACATTCAAAAGATGGCCATGCAGGTCAGATTGCAACAATAATTCACTCTTGGTAGTCAAGAAAGTGTTTGAAAGCATTTCAAACGCTTTGAATAAACAAACAGGGAACATACAATTTACTTTCCCCAAACTTAGTGGAAAAAAGGATAAGAAAATAGAAGTTAGAAAGGAAGATACGTCACCAGTCAGACACAAAGAGAATCAGGTCGAATTGTAGCACAGGGCAACTGGGAGATGAGGGTGAGGAAGGAAGAGAAATACATACATAGTTTCGAAACGGACTGGGGAGGACACAATATGTAAATAGGTATCCCATTAACACATCAGCAGCATACAATGGAAGAATCATTACTGTACCTAGTGGGTCAGTGTAACCTTCAAGTACTTACTTTGCGTTCTTTCCCACTTCTTCCTTTAATTACTGTCTCTCCCCCTTTCTTCATCACTCTAATTTTCCTCCCATCTCTTTGCTATGACTCTTATCTCCATGTACTAAATACAATGTCACGTGGCTTAACCTTTTTAATAGGGACACACTGTGGACTGGCGGATTGAACAAGCGTAGGCAATGTGCATCAGTGTTAGAGCAAGGTCATCCTTCAATCAGAGGATTGGTAGTTCATTGACACGTAGTGGGAAAGCACCGGAAAGGGTCCTCTACAAGTGCAGTCCATTCACCGATGACGTAAGAAATCTTTATTTCAATTGACCAAAATCAATAAGAAATGGAAGAATTGTGAAAAGGTCATTGCAATTCAAACAGCCAGAAAAACAACTGTCATAGTGGTGCCAATTTAATATGTTTCCAAAATCCAGTCACATGACTATATCTGAGAAACTGTTTCTGCAAGCAAAGTTCCTGCCTGAGCTAATCCAGAAACAAATTGGTACCACGTGGGAACAACTGAATGAAGATGTAAAACACTTCATGTTTTGATTTTTGCTTCTTTACAGCCGTAAACAGAAGATAGTTGAAATAAGAAAAAGACAGACGGAGGCAAACACTACCAATAATAAAACTAGTGTTTCCATCAAAGGTGTGAGAGGCAAACTCCACCTCACTGCCTCTAAGTGGATAATACGCAAAACGTCCCAGGGCTTGTTGGTAAAACTGCAGCAAAAGAGAAGTTAATTGGAAAAGGCAACTTAAAAACAAATGTCTTTAAAAACAATGCAAATGGATGAGGGGAATTGTCTTAAAATAGCAGACAACGTAGACAAAAGACAAACGACAAAGTCCCGGTGATTCTCAGGAGAGAAAAGTAGAGCAGATTTGAGGAGAAAGAGAAAGAGGGGTAGCTGTAGCTGTTTCTCGACTTCGCCCCAAACTAATTTGGAATGTTACCTCTCCAACAACAACATTGCAAATGAAACTTTCAGGCTAATCCCAAGAACTTTACCCCGGTCAGATCTCTACACCAATGATTTTAGACAGAGGTCTTCAACAGGGGGTCCGCGGAGGTACTGCAGGGGGTCGCAACATTTTTGGTCGATAAGACAATTTTTTCAACCATTTTTTTTCTCCACAAATTTAAATGTCTTTAGAATCAGAATCACAATTGTATTTATTTTCTCTAAATACACATCAACATTACGGCATACGACAGCTCAGGCACTAGCCAATCAGATCGTGTTCATGCTCACGTCTAAAGAGCGTGAAGCTCAAAAATAGAAGATGGTGGTCCAAACTACATAGAATAGGGGGTCCGTGCTCCATTTCGCCATCAGTTTGGGGGACCTTGGCCTTAAAAACGTTGTAGACCCCTAATCTAAGACACTGCTGTACCACCAGCTCTCTATTTTATGCAATGAGGAACACGGGACTGTGGGTCAAGTTATTTTGGAAAAGTTCAAAATAATATCTAGTGTTGACACTATGTTACATTATTAAATAAAGCTGCTTTAGTATAAAAATACATAATAATTAAACCATTTGCAGTTACTTGATGTTTACAAATAGATACATTGGAGAAACTTAACTGGTAGAAGAACCATTACGTTGAACTCTAATCTCGCGTTTCCACTTCCACCAAACGAGATTCAATCAATTAGAACGAAGGATTTGATGTTTAGAAATTATTAGATATAATTAAATTGTACAAAAATCTTACTCCAAGATCACCTAGTTGTTTGTCTGGGAGCTTTTGACCATACACAATCACGTCTTCATCACCAATGAAGTTTGTTAAATTGTCACAAAAACTTTGCTTAAAAGCTGTGCCTCACTTTCAGATATTCTCCTGCTGCTGCAGACCAACTTCATTTGTTACTGCTAGAACAGATTACTGTGTACCTTTACTATCAGGCTGCTCTCATAAGTCTCTCCAGTTGATTCAGAATGCTGCAGCATGTATTAACAAGAACTAAGAAAGGAGATCATATTACTCCTGTATAAGCTTCTCTGCACTGGCTCCCTGTTAAATCAAGAATGTAATTCAAGGTACTTCTCCTCACCTACAAGGCACTAAGACTACTAAGACAGGCACCGTCTTATCTTAAGTAGCTTATAATACCTTATTGCCCTATTAGAGAGCTGCGCTCCATAAATGTTGGGTTACTTGTTGTGCATAGAGTCTTAAAAGGTAGGATGGAGCCAGAACCTTCAGTTATTAAGAGACCTAATTTAAGACTAGGGTTAAGATTTTCCTCTTTAATAATTCTTATAGTTAGGGTTGGCTCCGGTCTAGCCCTGCTAGAGGCCTGAAATGCTGGAGGACTTCCTAGTACACACTGAGCTCCTATTCCTCCTTCTATATGAATTTCACATCTCATTAATGCACATCACTAATTCAGTTTCTTGCCCAGAGTAGTTGTGCTTTCTCTCCTCACAGGTTTCCATAGATCAATCTGGAGCCAAGTCCTGCCTCCTGCCATGGCCCTGCTGACCTCTACCGCTTCTAACACTATTATTAGTCCCATTACTATTGCTGTCATCAGTGTGTGAGCACTAAGCACTGTTAGCAGCAGGAGAGTTCAGCTTTTTCTATCAATATAATACTGGGAAAAAGATCTCTTCAGTGGATTAAATCAGTATGTCGACATCCATATTTAGACGCAATATAGAAAGGTGTAAAACATTAACGGTGGTTTGGGGATTCATTGTGTTACCTTAAGCCACTCCTCGGCCTGTTCTTTGCTATGCACAGCCAGCACCAGGGCATCCGCTCCCTGGTGGATAATCTTAAGTTCGTGCTTCTTCTTCTTGCCGTCTTTGGGGATGTGGGTGATTGTGCAGCCTGTCAGGGTCAGCTCCATCTGGGGTGTGTGATCTTTGGAGGATTTGTAACACTGAAGAGAAAAAAGGTTGCACAAGTGTAAACTGTATGTAATGTTTTGTCACTCATCATGTACATTATGTCATTTTTGTGCTACATGTACACTAGTATCCCTCACCAGCAGTTTGTTGTCTTTGATGACACAGAGGAGTTTGGCCCACTGGCCAAAGCGCTTCTTGCGCAGAAGGAATGCACAGATCCTTGCGTCCTTCACCAGGTCCATGGACGCCTCTGCAGAAGGCCACTGGTGACGCATCTTCTGGCCCTTACCATCCTCCTCTTCCTCGTCGTATGACTCATAGGAGCTGCTCATGGCATCTGAGTCATAGTCTGAGAGAGAGGTGCAAAAGGCTATTGTTTTTCACATTTATTCACCATTCATTCACCTTTTATTTTCTATCATAAACAAGAAAAAGAAAAAGTTGGCGATGACTAAGTGCATTATATCAAATATATGTTGTGTAAATCATCCCCTCACTTGCAGTGATGTATTCAGGAGCCTTTCCAGGACTTAAAGGAACTGCTTCCTCATAGTAGCCTTCGGGTAGAGAGGAACTGGGCAGAGGAGGAGGGCCAGTTGGAGGCTGCAGAGAGAGGAGAAGCTTCTATTGATTAGTGACCACTTAGAGTAGTAGTGATTATATTTTATTCTGGTCATTGTAAAAAGACCATAGCAACGTAAATTGCAGATCATATACCCACAGGCTCAGTGAAAGTTACTTGATTACGGGTTAAGTAGTTCACTGTACAATGGATATCAAGTAGCCACATTGGGTAATAAATAGATTCTTCCTCCTTCTTCCACTGATGATGTGGCTATTCTGTATCTCGTTTATGCAATTTTTGGGGGACTGAGTTACTCTAAATATCAGGACACAAAATAACAGGAATTATTTTGCTACATACTTATGATGCTCCAACTTTTGTTTTGTCTCAGAATAAGAATCCGATTTGTTTCTATTGGCTACGCATGCATACAAGGAATTTGACTCCGGTTTCCACTTTTCTGGTCAACTTCTTGCACCGACGTCATCTTATTAATTTTTTTCTGCGACAGTCCGTCTGTCCAATCAGAAGGGTCCGCCCTCTGCTTCCTGCTATAAGGCCCTACCCTTTCCGTAAGAAGTTAATGTCGTTGTGTTTTCCTATTTGCTGTTGTAAGTTCCTATTTGCCGTTGTGCATTCCTATTTGCCGTTGTGTTTTCCTATTTGCTTTTGTGCGTTCCTATTTGCTGTTGTGTTTTCCTATTTGCTTTTGTGCGTTCCTATTTGCTGTTGTGTTTTCCTATTTGTTACACTTGTATTAAGGACATGGATTATATTTAAGGATGTTAATATTGCTTTTTAATGAAATCACTGCTTACAGCAGCCCAGTGGAGTGTATCATGGACCACCAAAAATATTGATCCTTCTGAAAGCCAAATTCTAAAAAGTAGCCTTCTAGCCAGTACCAGACAACCTCAAACTGCATGGAAAGCTATAAAGACCTAACAGTGATACGAAGTATTTCTGAAAGGACCATGATTTGGCTGCAAAGCTTGTCCCCCTCATGGGAAACCCCTTTTTATATGTTCTTTTGGTGGCATCATTTATTTTCCACTTACATGTGGTTATGAGACTTTGTGCTGTGGGCCATTGGTTACAGCTGACCCAATGAGGCGTCAGTGCAGTGATGTCAGCATCCACTGCGGTTACAAGGTGGAATATTCATAATAGGATTTGGCTAACTTCTTTGTGCAGAAAGAATTTGTCATAGGAAAAATTGGACTGAGGTGGACTGATGTCACTATGAACCAACCTCTCACGAAAGGGTGGAAGAACGAAGAGGGCGGCCTTAAACTGCTAGACTGATGATTCAAACGGTATCAATCCTTTTTCCTACTGTACTACAATATCAAATGACCCCGGGCCCATATTGGAGTGCTTCAATAATCTGTCTCATGACCCAGGACAATGCAACACAAAAAAGGGAAAAGGCAGCTCTGCTCCAATCAACAAAAGACAGTTGCAACATCATTCACATCTCAGAACCACCATGCTGTACGAACTAGACGTCATTCTCATTTTAATCTGAAATAACGTCCACCAAACTCCACAATTGCCCTGTGCTGTACAATAATTAATTTAATAAATAAAACTGATGAACCCAAAGCGTTAAAGATCTAATTTTCACAGGAATTCACAAACACTACACACACACAAACAGTCAGACAATTCATGTCCAAACAGTTAAAACTACCAACAGAAACCCTGAGTGTCTCAATCTTTGTTTGTTATCTTTGATGACACAGAGGAGTTTTGGCCCCCTGGCCAAAGCGCCTCAAAGCTGGAATAAACTTCCTGAAGATTTAAGACTTGCCCCAACTCTGACCACGTTTAAAACAAGACTGAAAACTTTTATGTTCAACTTCGCCTTCTGCTAAATTTGACCTACATTGCACTTTTAACCTCTGCCTTTAATTAAACAATTTAAATAAGATTGTAATTTACAATTTTATTTGCTGTTTTGAATTGTCTTTTCCTGCATTTTATTTCACTTTATTTTATGAAATGTTATGATGTGAAGCACTTTGAGTCTGCCTTGTGTATGAAAAGCGCTATACAAATAAAATTGCCTTGCCTTGCCTTCTTGTGCAGCAAGAATGCACAAACCGTGATTTCAACTGTGTAAAGCACTTGGATTGAAAGAAAACAAAAACCAACCAACGGACTATGGATTCATTGAGAATATCACCATCGGAAAATTCCGATTCCTAAAATTAATTTTATTTTCTATACCCTAAAATCGGAAATTTGCCTCAGAGGGCTTTACAGTCTGTACACATGCTACATCTCCAGCACAGCAAAGGAAAAACCATTAGATGAGGAGAAAAAAAGGAAAGAAACCTATAGAAAGAGACAGAAGAGGATCCCTCAACTGGGATGGACAGCCTGCAATGGATGTCATGTGAAGAGAATGAACAAGGTAAATGATGATGTACACTACGTTCAGTTCATATGACAGAAATGATTGAAATATATCTATTACGGTCTGGAACTGCTCATATGCGTTGTGAACTCCTCATCTCCTGCTCGTCTTTCTTTGAGTTTATTTGCCGTTGTACTGTTAGAAAATCATGGTTTCGGTAATTCACTTTTCCGCCTTCTGAAGTGGGACGCGTGATTATCCTGATGACTGACATCTGGTTCAAATTAACAAGACTGTTTAGCCTTTGAGGAACCAAGATAGCCTGACATCAATCATCAAGTTAATTTGAGCTGTCTAATAGGACATTTGATCGACTTTGTTGAACCACGTACAATGAACGGGTCCCAGGACTTTTTTTATCACAGACATACTCAAACGCCTACCCGGACATCAAATGAGCCCAACACGCAACTAACATTGTTCATTTATTAGCTGACAAAGAGGCGGAGGGGAGAATAGCAGTTTGGTGAACTCATTACTTGGCGGGGATATGGTTCCGTGCAAAACTCAAGAGCTGCCAGCGTTCTCCTCCCTTACCCAGCCCTTAAAAGAAGCCCGAAGAGAGGAACAGAGTGGGAAGAATAGACACAGAATGCAAGCACGACATGAGCCTTGAGAAGTAGATGTGAAAGTAGACTTGTTTGAGTGGTTGGTGGATTGTTGATATGAAGGCTGACCCTCTCACATCACAGTTACTTACTTTCCAAGGCTATTTAGGAGCAATAGCATTAATAATCATGCAGACGGTGATTGTTTGGTTGAGCATTTTTGTGCTTTATGTGACTGCGTCAGAATATATTCCATTACACTTCAGAGAATGTGATTCAATTGCGCTGCTATTTAATTACTCAAAGCGTAGCGGCATGCACACTTGTATCAAGACACTCATATAAACACACAGCCTGACTTTCCCCTACGCTTTCATTCCCTGAAACAACAGCTTGGTCCTATCGTACAAGTGATCTGCAGATCCGTTACACAGGAACACTGCAGTCCCAATGCAGAGCGGCTCTCTGCTGCCCATAAACACGAGCTGCACAAACAGCAACTCTAAATACTCTAAATAAAGATTTCCACTATCTATCTATTCACTATCTTCTGCTGACAGTCCAGTTCAGATCAGATCAGAAGATGGGCTCGGAGAACAATCGTCACAAAGCAGCTTCCTCCATCTGCTTCATTTGCAAAAGAAGAATTAGGATATCTTTAATGAAAAACACAATACTGTGATTCTATCAAATTCCATTGTGGTATTTGTAAGATAATACAGTAGACTTACATGTTGTACATTCTGTCTCGATATAATAAACAAATATAGTAAAATGCTGTTAGATTTAATTTGCAGGGAATTTTAAAAAAATGATATTAAAAAACTTTTAGGGCGCCCATAGGATTATCTCATTATTCAGATTTGTCACTAGAATTGTACAGAAAATGCAGAGAATGGCTCCTGAATATGGCAAAGTAAAAGTAAAAATAAATGAAGGAAGCCTGTTCATATTATATTATTAAATAATATGAATCATACATTATCAAATAATATATCATATATTATGTAATATAATATATCCTATTAGAAATACTTAGTCAGCTAAAGTATTTACATTAAGAGCTTGGAGTACTTCATGTCTGATTACTGTTCCTCCCTGACGAGAATAGATTTCCAGAGTATGTAGTGATACATCCATAAGTACAGCAGCATGAGCAGGTCATGTGCAAGGATGCATATCAGAAATGTGAAATTTCCCATTCATCATGTGTAATTAGGTAGTGGCAAACAAGTCATGACCTTGGTTTGGACTACTTTGAGCAGGAGGTATGTCTGCTGCTCTTGCCCTAACCTCAAACTCACATCCAAACATTTATGCCAAGTATCAATTTTTGCACTGCGTGGGAGGACTAGACCTTTATAAAGGCTTCTGCCTGTGTGCCAATGGGACGCTGGAAAAGATAAACTAAGTGCACACAGGAAAGCCATTCCCTTAGGAAAGGCTGTGGAAATGGCAATCTGTATTTCTAATTATTATTAGCAAATTATAAAATGTGGAAGCACATACCTTTCCTATTTGATGGTGAAATATGCTGAATAAAACCAGTGAGACCCCTTGCAGGTTTGTATTCTACTAGTGAATTACAACATCACCTAGGGAATAATATGGTGTGTTCTGCCTGCCTGAAATATTACAAATATCTGGCCTTTAGTATCATTAGTATCTTGTTCAGTCAAACATCTATGCATTTCTAAGCTGCAGTATGCTACATTTTGTTAATGAAATGTAATTTATCTTCGCCACAACAGTATTAAAGGGATCCATAAAACCAAACACCTCCATTTGAAGGACACATTGCTGTTAATTAGAACTTTGGACTAGTTTCCCCTAAAGCTTTATTTTTTCTAAAGAGGGTCCCGCTGAGACCTACGCTCTTTTCTTGCACCACCCTGTATTACAGATATACACTTGCACATCTGGGAGTTACACAGTGCAAATACAGTATTTTACCACCAGCACTTGAACAGCTGGGGGTTAAGTGTCCTGCTCAAGATCAGCTGCATGGTATCTGAGCTACTGCCACCTATATCCATTCAAGCACATTATTCACGAGTATGATCACTTA